GACATTAGCCAAAATAATTTTGGTGAGATTCCAGATGTGTGTGAATGGCCAAAAAACTTGAAATATTTAAACCTTTCCAGCACTCAAATTCCTAAACTGACGACTTGCATTCCCCAGACGCTGGAAGTTTTGGACGTTAGCGCTAACAACCTGAAGGAGTTTGGACTGCAACTGCCATTTCTGAAAGAGCTGTACCTTGCAAAAAACCAGCTGAAGACCTTGCCTGGTGCCGCACCCATTCCTAACTTAGTGGCCATGTCAATCAGAAGAAACAAGCTCAACGGTTTCTCCAAGGAAGAGTTTGAGTCCTTCAAGAAAATGCAGCTGCTGGATGCCAGTGACAACAACTTCATCTGCTCTTGTGAATTCCTCTCCTTCATCCACCACCAGGCCGGGATAGCCCAGGTGCTGGTGGGGTGGCCGGCCAAGTATGTCTGTGACTCTCCCCTAGCAGTAAGAGGGGCACAGGTTGGAGCCGTACACCTCTCCCTGATGGAGTGCCACAGGTCCCTCGTGGTGTTGTTGATCTGCGCCCTGGTGTTCCTGGTCATCCTCGTCCTCGTGGCTGTTGGCTACAAGTACCACGTGGTCTGGTACCTGAGAATGACCTGGGCATGGCTCCGAGCCAAGCGGAAGCCCAAGCGAGCCCCACCAAAGGACATCTGCTACGATGCTTTTGTCTCCTACAGCGAGAACGATTCTGACTGGGTGGAAAACGTCATGGTGCGGGAGCTGGAGCAGGCCTGCCCCCCCTTTCGGCTCTGCCTCCATAAGCGGGACTTTGTGCCTGGGAAGTGGATCGTGGACAACATCATCGACTCCATAGAGAAGAGCCACAAAACGCTCTTTGTGCTGTCTGAGCACTTTGTGCAGAGCGAGTGGTGCAAATATGAGCTGGACTTCTCGCACTTCCGCCTCTTTGATGAGAACAATGATGCAGCAATTCTTGTCCTCCTAGAGCCCATCCAGAGCAAAGCAATTCCCAAGAGGTTCTGCAAGCTGCGGAAGATCATGAACACAAAGACCTACCTGGAGTGGCCTC